CCCTGCTCAAAGCAGGACCAATCCCCAACTAAATCATCCCAGCCAGGGCTTCGTCAAGCCTGACCTTAAAAACCTCTAAGGAAGGAGATTCCACCACCTCCCTAGGTAACCCATTCCAGTGCTTCACCACCCTCCTAGTGAAAAAGTTTTTCCTAATATCCAACCTAAACCTCCCCCACTGCAACTCTCTGTGTCTCTTTGACACACACACAAAGCAGGGCTCATCCCCTCCAGCAGGGGGCAACAGGGACACCCACACACCCCTCAGCCCCTCCAGCAGGGACACTCCCCTACCCCCCCGCTGTTCATTGTGATGGTCGTGGGGGTGGGGAAGGGGCTATAGTGTATAATGGGCACTAGGGGGCAGCAGAGGGTGGGGGAGGGGAAGGGGCGGCTGTACTGTATTATGGGCAGCAGAAGGTGAGGGTTGAGGAAGGGCAGAGGAAGAGGTTGGGAGGGGGCATCTCTGCACCTCCCCCAACCCCACTGCTCATTCTGGCTGTCTAGCACCACCTGATATGGGGGGAGAGACCCTGGCGGGACCATCCCGGGGGTCAGAGCCTCACCTGACACAGGTACAGTGATCCTGTTACTGTTCTCAGATGCAATCTCCTGCCTGGCCTCCCATCTCCAGTACTGACAGGTGTAGGTGCTGTCATTCCCCCTCTGCGTTGTGAGCTCCATCTGGGCCCCCCCGCTGGCAGCTAGCAGCTCTTCAGGGGTCTGATCCCCTCTGTGCAGGTGGAACCTGAACCCCGCCACCTCCTCGCCACCGGGTGCTGAGCAGTTGAGGGTGACCTTCTCCCCGGGCAGGTACACAGGGAGCTTGGGATGCAGAGAGAGTTTGGGGGCCAGAGGAGGAGCTGCAATAGAGAGAAAGGGTCAGTGCAGAGGGGCAACCCCCCCCCCAGAGTCAAGAGAAGTCGATACAGGGAGTCCAATGATACCCCAGCCTGTGACATACCCCACAGCAAACACCCCGCAGGACAGCTGCCAATCCCCAGTCTGAGTGGAACGGCATCTCACAACTGGCAGAGCTGTCGGGGAACAGCTACAGCACCTAACCAAATAAGCACCTCAAAATACAACAGGTGAAATTCCTGGCGAGACTTTCGAGTGATTTACAAACAGAAGTGCTGAACTTTGAGCTCTTCAACTTGGAGCAAATGAGCCTGGACAAGCCCACATTTGGCAAAGGCGAGGATATGACGCCAGAAAGACCTGGTGGTCTCCACAAATTTCCCTACTCAAGAAAAATAAAGGTTACACTCCTGGATAACTGAGGATGAGACACAGGTAATGACGGAGGCGCTAAAGAGTGAGAAATGTGCTGAATGGTATAAATCAAGGCCGTGGTTTGGTAGTTCAATACTAATCGTTCATGACGATGGATGTTGAATGGTCTTTTTCATCGTGTGTCCTCCACCACAATCATAGCTGTTCCCAGTGCTGGGCACATGCTATGGCCCAGACTGCAGATCTTCCCCCAAGAGCCGGAAAACCAACAGATGTTCCTTAGTTTGTGTTTGCCACGGTCACATGTGTCTGGGTCACTGGACTAGCCCCACTTCCACAGATTGACTTTGGAGCTGCCAACTTTTGTTCGGAGATGATTTAAAGATCTCCAGGTCGACCAATCCTTCACTCCTCTGGGGAGGCATTCGGCACATCACTGTACATTCTGACTAGGTTGGTGAGCATTTCAAGTCATGTACGCCACGTTTCCAGTTGTTTGGCCATGGATCTTTTTAAGCAATTCCATTACAGCTAGGAAGCTTTTCTGGGATTTCAGGGCCACCATTGGCCATGTATTGGATGTCTGGGATGGCCAACGCATGCACATCACGGCCCACGTCAGACTGTCTCAATCTGCAAATCCTGCTGAACACCTACCACTACAATATGTGGAATGGGAAAAATAAGGGCTGTTTTATTAGTTTAATCTTCCTAGTTCATGACAATGTAGGCTGAATGGTAAAAGAATCATGGAGTTATGTTGGTGCAATGCCAGTGATTTGTAACAACGTAGAAGAATGAAAACAACTTATGAACGTTTGGGTAAATGTATAACTGGAGACATGGGATGACAGACATAGAAGCACCAATTAATCTATAAAAACAAAGTGACCGAGGGCCCAAATTGGAGAACACTAGTCCAGAGACTGAGACAAATTTGGAAACTTGGGGCCCTGCCTGTTCAGTCCAATCTGGCTTATTGTTTGATCCATGGAAGGAGTAGGGGCCTCTCCAGAACACACACGAAAAGGGCAAAGGGGTGCCGGAGACAGGGCTGGACTCACCAGTCACAGTGATGGAGACAGATTCACTCTTCCCTGACAGGATCACTTGCTCAGATCGGATTATCCAATATGCACAGGAGTACGCCCCAGCATTCCCAGTCATAGCCGTGCGCTCCAGCCAAGCCCCCTCGTCCAGCTCGGAGATCTGCTCCCCGATTTGATGGTAGAATCTGTATCCCCTTACCTGCTCGCTGCCAGGAACTGAGCAGGTGAGCTTGACATGTTCCCCTTGAAAATAGATGCGTTTCAGGGGGTCCAGAATGATTTGGGGGGCTGGCGGGGGGCGTGGGACACCTGGAGAGAATGAAGAGCACAGAAAACAAGGAGAGAAATGGAAGGGCTCTGAATGAAGAGCACTTGGCTGATTGTGCAAATAAAATGGGGAGCTGTCACATACCCCTTGGGCAAGCGAGGTGGAGAAAGAGCCCCAGAGATCGACTGTCCAGCCCCCTGAGGTTGACCATTCAGTTGCCTGGTCTCTCCTTGCCATGGGATGCTGTGATGGCCAAAAGCACGTCTGGGTTCCCAGAAGTACTGGATCCATTCATGGAGGACAGGTCCATCAATGGCTCTTAGCCAAGATGGTCGGGGCCACAACCCCATGCTCGGGGTGAGGCTGAACCTCTGACTACTACAAGCCACAATGGACACCTGGGCTGGATCCCTCCATAATTGCCCTGTTCTGTACGCTCCCCCTGAAGCTCTGGTATGGGCCACCATTGGAGACAGGCTACTGGGCTAAACGGTCCAGGGACCAGCATGGAAGCTCTTATGTTTTGACGCTGGTCCCTGCTATCACATGCTGAGAGAAAGGAGCCTCACCGGTGACTGTGATGGAGATGGGCTGGCTCTCTAGGGAGGAGATCTCCTGCCCAGGTTCGGCTACCCAGTACATACAGGTGTACGAGCCAGAATCCTCCATGCCGAGTCTGCCAATCTGGTAACTCTGAGAGTCCTGTCTTGTGCATGCCACTTGTTCCCCAGCCTTGAGGAAGCAGAACCCCATCTTCTTCTCCCAGCTGGGAGCTGAGCACGTCAGGGTAACAGAATCTCCGGTGGTGAACTCAGGGCCCGTTGGGGACAGCCGCAGCGTTGGCCGAAAGGTTTCCGGGAGCACGGAAGGCCCTGAAGAGAGATAGTGGGGACTGACCCCTCCAACGACCCCCAGTGCTATAGAGCTCCCTCCACCCAATCCCAGGAGATGGCTGATGTGTCCAAAGGGAGACGACGCCCAAGTTCATTTGCTACCACGCCATATTTCCCTCCCTGGTCACTAACGATCCTTCCCCACCCAGAGATGTTTTCTCTGAGGAGCACCAGCTCTGGGTTCACCCACTTTTCATTTACTGATTTACTGCGTTTTGTTGCCCGTTTCAGGGAAGGTTGATTGGTCTTTAAAGACCATCAGGTGATGCTCCTGGGATAAGGCAGGTGTGAGCCTACAGCTAACCCAACAGGCCAACCGGTGCTCGGTCTCTTTGGAGACAGTGAATTTAATAATTCCTGTGAGTCTCCAAGCAGCAGGACTGGGAACTGCAGGGAGATGCCTCTGGGGACACCGACTGGGACCTGCAAGGCCAGGTTTGGACTGGCAGCTCTCAAGGAGTTTGCTGGCAAGGCCGACAGGTGGGAATGTCAGGGAGGTGACGGACATTTCAGCAGCACCACAGCTCTCCCTTGCTGAGCAGAGCGTCACAGGGTCTTAGTTGCTAACACGACCTCCCTTGACAAACCAGCTCTCCTGGACAGGAGCTCTCTGATTGCCCAGAGCAATCACATTGCAATGGCCGAGCATTTTAGCTCAACGACCCTCTTGTGCGATTCTGTTCCCACCTTCCTTCAGAAGTTCAGACCAACTGACCACAGCGAAGGTAAAGAATCCCCCATCCAAAGTGGAGTCTGCAGTCTGGCCCAGATACCAACCCCCCAGTCAGTGGCGTAGCCAGCTTTTAAGAGGAGGGGGAGCAAACCTAAAAAAGGCACCCCCATGACTCCTCCTCTGGCCATGCCCCCCGGCTCCTCCTCCAGCCGCTCCACGCCCCCCCCTTGGCTGGCTCCTCCGGCCGCACTGCCCCTCCCCGCCATGGCTCCTCCGGCTGCGGCTGCCTGGCCGCCATGCTGTGCCCCCCCTTGCTCCTCCGCCCGCGGCTGCCGGCCCGCCACCAGCCTGCGCCCCCCTCCTTGCTCCTCCGGCTGCGGCTGCCGGGCCACAGCCAGCCTGCGCCCCCCTCCCTCTCCTCCAGCCGGAGCTGCCAGGCCGCCACCAGCCTGAGCCGCCCTCCCTCTCCTCCAGCCGCGGCTGCCGGCCCGCAGCCAGCCTGCGCCCCCCCCTTCTCCGGCTGCACCCCCCTTCGCTCCTCCGGCCGCTTTTGCAAAGTGTGCTGAGGGGAAGCGGCTGCTTCCTCTGCACCCCGCTAGCTACGCTCCTGCCCCAATATCAGACAGGATTCATCAGCTCTACAGACAGATTACTCAGTCCATCACAGACGTACCGGTCGGTAGCCCACAACCCCTCCAGTCTGAACAGCCATCCCCTGACCCAAGAGGTGTAGATGGAAACATGACTCACCTGTCAGATGGATTGAGAGGGGGGCACTCGGCCGTGACTGGATCATTCTCCCTGAGTCACTGATCTCATAGCTGCAGGTGTAAGGGCCGGTAGCGTCCAAATCAGACTGACGGAGCTGGAGACGGGCACCCGGCTGTGAGACAATGACATTCCCCTGCCTCAGGAACTGGTACCTTGTAGCCACGTTTCCCGGAGGGACCAAGCATTCGATGGTAACAGGGCTCTTCCCGGGGGGATCAGAAATCACAGAGATGGACGGAGCAACAGGGAAATCTGTGAAGAGCAACAACAGGAGAGAAGAGGGAGTGTTAATGTACCGAGAGTGTGGAAATAGCAGAGCAATTGTGGATGAGGAAGTGGGGTCTAGAGGTCAAATCGAGGCATGGGCTGGGAGCCAGGACTCCTGGGTTCTATCCCCCGCTCTGAGAGGGGAGTGAATTTCAGTTCTTGAAACCCTGACACAACTAGAACGAGGAGAACCAGGCAGTGAAACTGAGCTGATGCCCTTGGCAGCAGCTAGATTGCTGGTTGTGTCTCAGCCACTGTAGGGGGAGAAATGCCGGTGACCCCAGATCAACCAGCCCTAGGAAACAGATGCACCAGTCGCTAGGCCAAGCAGGGATGGCTGCGCTCCGAGATGGTCTCCCACTCAGACTCTGCTCCCCCGTACGGGCAGGTGCATGCTTTCGGGATCCCCACCACAGCCATGAGCCCCAGCTGAGAACTCCTGTTCTGAGCAGAGAGACCTGCAGAGACCTGCACCCTGATTTCATTGCAGAAGCTATATCTCCCCCCTGGGAGCCGAGCACCGGAGAGTAACACGCTCCCCAGGGAGATAGACAGAATGCTTAGGGGCTAGAGAGAGCATGAGGGCCGGCTGCCCCCTGCACCCCAAGGGGCTGTGAGAAAGCGTCCTAGGAGATGCTGGTTCAAACTGGGCTCCTTTAGGGCTTGATGAGGTGAAAGGAAGAGGCCCCCGGCTTGCACTCCAGAGGCCGTGCTCACGCAGTGTGGCCGGCCCAGTGCTTGTGGTGGGACCACGCGGACAACATATACAAAGTAAATAGCCTGAAATAGATCTCAGTCATCATTGTTCTTACTTGGCCTCGTGGTAAATTTCAGTTATGAAGGTTGGAAATATTTCTCTGTTGTGTTGTGTGTGGGCAGCGAAATCGGTGTTTACCGACAAAAATCGAATACAGAACGGACTCCCGTTCTGGACTACGTCTGCCAAGATGCACAGCGGTCACCCCTCTAGTTGAACTGCTGCAATGCAACATGGGGGGCTTAGTTCTGAGAGGGGGGCTGGCCAGGAATGGAGAATGGGAGCACGAAACACCAGAACTGAAACTCCCATCAGGCACCACAGCCACTCCAGGCAGATACAGGATATGAACAGAGCAAAAAATAAAGCCTTTTGTTTCAAGAAGGAGGAAAAGGTCTCATGCCGATCCACAATGTTTAAATGAAATGTTTTGACGTGTCCGCAACGAATTTCAACCCTCCCCTCCTGTCCCATGCAAGGACTTTGGAGGACCAGGTCACAAGCAATGAAGTCTCAAGTCTGACACAAATACAGAATTCATGGTAGGCTCTGTGGGGGGGGAGGGATAGCTCAGTGGTTTGAGCATTGGCCTGCTAAACGCAGGGTTGTGAGTTCAATCCTTGAAGGGGCCACTTGGGGATCTGGGGCAAAATCAGTACTTGGTACTGCTAGTGAAGGCAGGGGGCTGGACTCGATGACCTTTCAAGGTCCCTTCCAGTTCTCAGAGATGGGATATCTTCATTAATTATAATTACTATTGAACAATGCGTCGTATCTGTAGTCAAAGGCCAGAAGGGACCATCATGAAGCTCCTTCAAGCCAGAATCAAACCAGCGACCTAAAACTTAGCCACGTTCTTGAAATCTACAGTCCACCTCACACCAGCTCAGGCGCTGGGGATCTCTAGAGCTCAACAGGTTTAGCTTAACCGAGGTGTGGCGGGGCGGTTACCTGCTCCTGCCCGGAAGGGCTTAAACCAGCCCTTTGAGAGGGCTGGGGCAGGGGGAAGAGCTGGGCTGATTGGGGGAAACAGCCTCAGCTGTGGCCATGCCCCCAAACAGACCCAGCTGGCCCTATACAGGCCAGGGAAGCCAGGAGCAAGCAGGTGTAGGCGTCTGTAGAGGGAGAAGGGCCTGGCTGCTGCAGGATTAGCAGGAACCTAGATTGGGAGCAGGGCTGGGGAAGGGCCAGAGGAGCTGGGAGCTCCGGCCTGGAAAGCCCCAGGCTGCGGCCTGCTGACAGGTCTATTAGGTACTGGGGTTGCAGGGGACAGCCCATGGGTAGGCAGAGGCAGCAGTCCAACCCCCCCTTTGCCTGTGATGAGTGGCGTACACCGCAGTGAGCGGGGGCTGGACGGGGACTGGCAGTAGGTGAAGTGGGGATTGTGGGTGGGGGTTCCCCTGGGAGGGGGAGACCCTGAGACAGGGGTTCTGCAAGGCGGGGCAGAAACCCAGTGAAGGGGCACCAGGTCCTGGGAGGGACACGGGGGCCAGAATGAGGTAAGGCGGATCACCGGCCTGCAGAGGGCGCGCCGGAGCTGGGATGAGCTAATTCCCACGGACAACCAGCAGGAGGCGTTGCAGGGGTGATTCCGCCCCCCCCAAGGCGAAGGGGTGATTTGATCACGGTCTATAAGTACCTAACGCGACGACAGAAATCTGATACCACAGCCAAAGATCTAACAGGATCCAACGGATGAACGCTGAAGCTAGACAAATTCAGACTGGGAATAAGGTGGAATAAGGGAGGCCCGGGGAATTCACCACCGGAACAACGTACCCACGGTCGTGGTGGATTCTCCATCACTGGCCATTTTAAAAACAAGTTGGATGTTTCCCTAGAAGATCTGTGCTAGTTCAAACAGGAATAACGTGGGGGACTGCCAGTGGAGACGGGACTAGGTGATCACAGTGACCCTTTCTGGTTTCAGAATCTGTGAAATGGTTTTGGTGTGTTTGGGGGGGGTTCATTATTTTTTTGGTGTAGGTGGAGCGAAGGTAAGGAGACCATCCATCAAGGGTAAGACCCTGGGGGTGGAAGTGAGCAGGCTGGTGACCCTCCCCACACATGAGGGACTAGGCTGGGGTCTCACATGTGATGGGGATGGGAATCCCCTATTAGACAGCAGGAGAAAGGGGACTCACCCAGTACTGATACCTGGACGGGCTGGCTGCGCACAGAGTAGATGGTCTGTCCGTCTCTCACTGCCCAGTACTCACAGCTGTACGCCCCGGCCTTCCCTGTCTCAGCCGTCAGGACCAGCCAGAGCCCCCCGGGCAGGCCAGTAGTTTCCGTGAAGACCCGCTCCCCGTGCTGATTGTAGAACTGGTAGCTGGTCACCGCCTCCCCGCCAGGGGCCGAGCATCTGAGGGTGAGACGCTCCCCCAGGACATATACAGGGTGCTGGGGGTCCACGATGATGGTGGGGGCTTGCAGGGGGGCTGCGGGAGGGCAGAGAGATTCAGGGGAAGTTTCGCTCCCCCAGCCAAGTGCTGCCTCCCTATTCCTGCCCCCCTTGGCTGTAGCCGGCAGCCCCTCACAGCTCTCCGTTCCTCCCACACAACAAGACCCCTGGTGTCTGCACCCCACAGGCCCCAGAGCTCTGGCTGCATCTCTCCTGGCCTCACTCCCCCAGTGCTCCACGGGGAGGGGGCAGGAGCCCCTGTCACCTCTAGGGGGTTCTGGTTCCCGCCTGGCCACGCCACACATCACGGGCTCCGCCAGGCATGGCGCAGCTCAGTCAGCTCCGTGGGGGTGCTGAGATGAGGGGAGTGGGGGTGGGGGTGGGGAGATGAGAGGAGATGGCAGCTAGGGAGAGAGACCCCCCC